CGGGCAGGGCAGTACATGTGATCCACTAAGTCCAACTAGATTTCTCTTGAAATTTGTGGGAACAATAAAACAAATCGCGGTTCCCGCGATCATAGGCATGCCACGTGGCGAAAATAAAACGAATCGCGATTTTGCGGAATTGAGCAAAAATCTCCAGGCAACTGCTTCAGTATCACAATACAAAAAAATAAGAAAGTGAATACACTTCCAGAAATTATCAAACTATGGTGGTACCTGGTTAATTATTGCATGGATGTGAAAATTTTCCTGGTTCTCAAAGTTATGGTACTTCACTAGCTCTCAAAATTGATTGAGACAGAAGGCACTCGAATCTGATGCTTCAGACAACAGCATTACCATGTCTCATGTCATGTTCCATCACAATGTATGTGAGCGACTCTGAAAAACAGTAAACCCATGTTTGTCATCACAGGTGGAGTGGGTTTGCGTAACAGAAAACCACAGTCCGCAATGGAGTGGCATGGCGAAATAGGTCAATGATGGATGAAACCACCAACCTGCGGAAAGCAAAGGTGGAAAATGGGGGTTTGGTTTGGTACAGACCACAAGCAGCTTACAAGAAAGGGGTCATGAGAACAAATTCACAAAAAGGAGGGAGAGCGTAGGGGGACATGGCTGAGAGAGTGTGTGTGAAGGGGAGATAGAGAGAGAGAAAGAGGAGAAAGGATGAGGGATAGAGAGAGAGAGAGAGAGAGAGAGAGAGAGAGAGAGAGAGAGAGAGAGAGAGAGAGAGAGAGAGAGAGAGAGAGAGAGAGAGAGAGAGAGAGAGGAGCTCCTGTAATGCTGCCATGTACTGACCATAACGCCACGCTGTGTGATTCGGTTTCTTGCAATGAAGTGCAGCACGCTGGAAGAGAATTCCAAGCTCTCGTCCTCCTGCACGCGCGCACGCACAGCAGCACACAGCTTGTGTTGGGTCACAGAGCACAGAAGCAACAAGGGGAAGAAAGAGCGCACTGCACCACAAGTGGATGGCGCCTCACCTGGATGGCGCCTCACCTGCATGGCGCCTCACCTGGATGGCGCCTCACCTGGATAGCGCCTCACCTGGATGGCGCCTCACCTGGATAGCGCCTCACCTGGATGGCGCCTCACCTGGATAGCGCCTCACCTGGATGGCGTGGCCTGAGTGGCGGACAACGAGCATTTGGAAGCGGCCCTGCATCTGAGCGATGGTCAGCGGCCTGCCATGGTTGCTCGCCGTGCAGCACATGTGGAGTGAGGGAGGGCGAGAGCAGGGAGTGAGGCAAGAGGGGGGAGCAAGGAGTGAGGCAGGAGGGGAGAGCCGGGAGTGAGGCGGGAGTGGGGAGGACGGCATAAATGCAGAGGGTGGTCAACACTGTGGAGCAAGAGCCAACACCGTCTTACCCAACCAGCTGGACTCCCTTGACTCCCCCGACTCCCCCGACTCCCCCGACTCCCCCGACTCCCCCGACTCCCCCGACTCCCCCGACTCCCCCGACTCCCCCGACTCCCCCGACTCCCCCGACTCCCCCGACTCCCCGGACTCCCCCGACTCCCCCGACTCCCCCGACTCCCCCGACTCCCCAGACTCCCCTGACTCCCCTGACTCCCCTGACTCCCCTGACTCCCCTGACTCCCCCGACTCCCCCGACTCCCCCGACTCCCCCGACTCCCCCGACTCCCCCGACTCCCCTGACTCCCCTGACTCCCCTGACGCCATCCCCTGACGCCATGCCCTGATGCCATGAGAGCGCGGCTCACTTGTCGAGGCGGTCGGTGCCGGCGAGCAGCAGCAGCTTGGGCACGGGGCAGCGCAGAAAGAGGTCCGACAGACCCGTGTACCTGCCGGGCACATGGACGCACACACATGCATGCACACGTGCAGTGCACACATGCACATGCATACGCACACATGCACACACACACATGCACATCCCATGTGCACATGGATACGCACACAAGCACATGCACACATGCACGGGCACACGCACATGGACATGCACACGTGCACGCACATGGTTGAATGCACTTGCACACATGCATATGGTTCACACAGCAGCGCACACTTGTGGTTGCTGGCAGATACTGCAACGAGAAGGGCGGGTGGAGATGGCATCCAATCCAGCCATGCCGCACTCTGCTTTCTCTTCAGAACCACCACTCACAAACCATCCCTCGCCCCAAAAAAGCTTCAGCAGATTTTTCCCATCCCAAGCATGCATATCGACATCCCAAGCATCCCACTTTGCGAGCAGTGCGCAATGCATGCTCAGCAAGCAGCAAGAAACAGACAGCATGCACGCATGTGTGTGCGCGCGTGTGCACGCATGTATGTGCACGTAAGTGTGTGCACGTAAGTGTGTGCACGTAAGTGTGTGCACGTATGTGTATGCACGTATGTGTGTGCACGTATGTGTGTGCTCGTATGTGTGTGCATGCATGCACGCACCATCCCTTCCAGTAGGGCTGAGATTTCTCCAGGGGGGTGCGCCATACAAACCTGCAGGTGGAGGAAAGGGTGTGAGAGAGGGAATGGGTGAGAGTGGGAGTGGACGAGAGATTGGGGAACGGATGAGAGAGTGGGAATGGAAGAGAGGGAGGAGAAGCGACAGTAGAACAGAGACATTTAAGGGGTCGAGAACGGTCTAGAACGCAACTTACCGTGCCTCCCCATGCCTCAACCATGCTTTCCTCCCCCTCATGCCTCCATATATCGCACCCATGCTTCCCCACGCATCTGTCTTTCCCCTGCTGTGTGCTGCTCGACCCTTCCTGTCTGTTCACTACTCACCCCTTCCCCGTGGCGTCTGGCACGAGGGTGGGTGGCACCGAGACACGCGCCGACTCAACGCTCCTCAGATGCCCCGACCGCACACTCCACTCCACCTGCCGTCGCAACACAGTGCGAGCGAGGAGAATGAAACATGTGGCAGAGTACACACGCTACGAGAGATAGGCAGGGTAAGGAGAGGAGTAAAGGGAGAATGAGAAAGACAGAAAGGAGAGAGGGGGAGGAAGAAGTGCACTCACGGCTTTGTGGAGCGATGGGAAGTGTGAGGGGCGCGACGCCAGCACTGCGTGCATGTGGCCCAGCGATGCCACGGCGCTGCCCTGCCGTGTCGTGTCCCATGCAGGGCGGGCGCAGGACAAGGGGGCGGACGAGCAACAGGTGGTAGAGGACGGGGGTGGAGGGTGGTGAAGGGGGTAGAGGGTGGTGAAGGGGCACACACTCACTGACTTGACACACTGGCATCAAGCAGCATGGCGAAGCGCAAACCCGTGAGCCCATGAGCCAGTAGGCCTGACATCATGAATCGAGGAGGCCGTTAGGCAGTGTGAGGCAGTGAGGCAGTGAGGCAGGGACGCAGGGGGGCAGGGAGGCAGTGATGCAATGGCGCAGTGTAAGGCAGGGAGGCGGCAGGGAGGAGGCACGGAGGAGGCACGGAGGAGGCACGGAGGAGGCACGGAGGAGGCAGGCAGGAGGCAGGGAGGAGGCAGGTGGGGGCAGGGAGGAGGCAGGTGGGGGTAGGGAGGAGGCAGGTGGGGGCAGGGAGGAGGCAGGTGGGGGCAGGGAGGAGGCACGGAGGAGGCACGGAGGAGGCAGGCAGGAGGCAGGGAGGAGGCAGGTGGGGGCAGAGAGGAGGCAGGTGGGGGTAGGGAGGAGGCAGGTGGGGGCAGGGAGGAGGCAGGTGGGGGCAGGGCAGGGAGGCAGAGAGGGAGGCAGAGAGGGAGGCACCTCGACGACGTCGACGACGACGAGGCCTGCCAGTGATGGCAGCAGCTGCTGCTCCGCCACGCGCACTGCCACCGCCCCCCCCATGCTGCCATGCCATGCACCCCGCGCCATGTGCCATGCCCCGCCCACACACGAAAGGGAGGGGGAGGGGGACACGGAGCAGAGCAGATGAATGAAGGGGGGAAGGAGGAGTGGACGAATTAGAGGTGCCTGCCCTCTCCCGCTCACCTGTGACCCAGCAGCACCATGCCTGCCCTCTCACCTGTGACCCAGCAGCACGATGGCGGGAGGTGAGTCACCAAAGAGCTTCCTTGCCACGCCTGCCACATCCTCCACCAGCGTCTGCCGTGGCATGGTGGGGCCATGCACACACGCACATGCACACACGCACATGCACGCACGCACATGCACACACGCACATGCACACACGCACATGCACACACGCACATGCACACACGCACATGCACGCACGCACATGCACACACGCACATGCACGCACGCACATGCACGCACGCACATGCACGCACGCACATGCACGCACGCACATGCACGCACGCACATGCACGCACGCACATGCACACACACGCACATGCACACACACGCACATGCACGCACGCACATGCACGCACGCGCATGCACCCACGCACATGCACGCACGCACATGCACACACACGCACATGCACACACACGCACATGCACGCACGCACATGCACGCACGCGCATGCACCCACGCACATGCACGCACGCACATGCACACACAAACCGATGCAAACAAGCACAGAGCACAGAGCATAGAGCAGAGAGCATAGAGCAGAGAGCACAGAGCATAGAGCACACAGAGCACTGAGCAGAGAGCAAAGCACACATGGCTGCATAGATGTGTGCATGCACAATGGCTGGAAGCGACATGCACGTGAGCATGATACCTGGGCGGAGAGAGAGGCACCTGGGCGGAGAGAGAGGCACCTGGGCGGAGAGGAAACCTGGGCGGAGAGGAAACCTGGGCGGAGAGGTCGAGGTCGTTGGCGGTGCGCGTGGCGCCGTGGCCACGCATGTCCATGGCCACCACCTGCACCTCGCCCCTCATGTGCCCCGCCGCCACTGCAAACGATGCCCTGCCCCCGCACATGCACCCCCTCCACCCCGCACATCATGGCGGGCAAGAGAAAGAGCGCATGCAAGGTCTGAGATGGGGGGGCGTGGTGTGCTGAGCTGAGCAAGCACGAGCAATGTGCTGACCTCGGAAGTGGGCTCGGGCACGTGCTTGCGCAATGAGTGAGTAAAGCTTTAACGAGGCAGCAGTGTGCTTGTAACGGGGAAAGGGGCGGTTGGCGTGGGTGTGGGTGCACCCACCCGGCATAGCCGCCCCCATGCAGGCACAGCAGCACGGGCCCTGTGCGCCCCGCCCTGTACACGTGGAACACCTGGCCCCACAGGCACAGGGGGGAGTGGGGGGGAAAAGAGGGGAGATCAGGAGAGGGGCGGGAAAGGGATGTGTGAGCAGGCGGAAAGGCATAAGGCACTAGCAGAGGAGGAGCGGACAGAGGAGGGGCGGGCAGAGGAGGGGCGGGCAGAGGAGGGGCGGGCAGAGGAGGAGAGGGCAGTGAGTGGAACGCAACAAGACAGGCAGTGCTGTCATCGGTGCGCAGTGCCGACTCACATCGCCATTGGCCACTGTCACGTATTCCTCCTCTTCAAAGTACTCCTGCCACCTCACAGGCTCAAACTTGCTTCTGCTGCTCTGCCCCTGCCCCTGCCCCAATCCGCTCCACGCCATCTCGCCCACCGCACCGCCCCCTGCGCCTCCCTCCTCCGCGCTCCCCCCGCCCCCCGCTCCCCCCTCCGCGTTCCCCCCATCCAGCCCGCCCCCCTCCAGCGGGTCGTCCTCGAGGATGCGCGCGACGGCCTCGTGCGGCGCGCGGCTGTGGCTGTCCGCCTTGGGCAGCCGCGGACTCGCCTCCGTGCCCTCCCCCTCCGCCTCCTCCGCCGGCCCCGCCTCCACCCGCTCCAACCGCACGCCCACCCGCGGCTTCATTGCAAGCTGGCGGGGAGGAACAAGGGGAGCGCGCATGCAGCGGGGAAGGAGCGCGGGGCGGGGCAGAGTTGACGGGCGGGTGGAGGCGGAACGTGAACGGGCGATAGCGCGCGCGGCAGTGGGCGCAGCGCAAGTGACAAGGGCAGAGCGCGCGAGGAGGGCAGTAGGAGAGTGCGTGCAAGGGGGAGGCGAGGAGCGGAGAGGAGGGTGGGTGGAGATAGGCAGTGGTACACGGGTAGAGGAAGGCGACAGTTACGTCTCAAAAATTGGGGGCCCCTGATGTTACCTCGAGCTAACCCTAATCTTGCACTGAGGTAACCTAACAGTGTGTTACCTCAAGGTGCTCGTGGGGGTAACGTACGAAGTCGACACTAGCCCACGGTTTGCCCCTCCATGTCACTTGCAGTTCGCCCCCATTGAGCCCAGTTCGCGCTAGTCCACATAACAAGAAAGCATCGGAGTGGACCACGTGTCCCTGAAAATCCTGCCGGTAACCACGTTTGTAACAATTAACAAATAATATCTACTGCATATGACGCAGAAACTCATAATCACAAATAAGTCACTAGCCATAGACTCACATCTGCTTAATTCACCTTTATTTTCGATATTAACACTCCTTATGCTACACTACGCAATCCCGCTAGCACTGGGAACTCAAATTTAAAAAGAAAATAATTTGTGCTGCATTTAGAAATACATAATTTCTATTCGCAAGCTGCCTGCACATTCTCGAAAAGTCACCATGAATTAGGGGGATGTTTTTTTTTTAACATGGTCATTGCTCTCAACTTTTATTTTTTATTAACACTGCTACACACAGCTTTCAGCACTACTGGTACTCGTTCCAGTACCATCTAACAACGCCGCTTTTTCACACTGGCTGCGTTGAATCACGACACAGCTAGTCATTGCCCCACCTTTCACGCCGCAGCCTGCTCAACAAGTGGCCCTAGGAAAAGCCCGTCATCGGATATGACGACCAACCAGTGTGGCTTAAAAGCCCACGCCTTAAGCCTTGCCTTCCACCATGGGCCTTTCTCTGGCGTTCTCTCGATGATGGCGTGCCGGGCCCACATTCATACATGTGGTGTCACGTACATCAAATTCACAAGGGACAGGGATGTGTAATGCTTACCCCAAACATCCAGAAGGCAACCGAATACAGCTTCACCACCAGTGGGGGTGAAGCACCAGTCTTGTATGTCGCATAAATGCATTGGTCAAAAGACTCGGACGTAAAGGGTATCTCGGGGGTGTCTTCCGCGCAATGCCATATCATCAGCTCGTGTAAAAATGGCCCTGTAAAGGAAAGTTAGCGTTAATACGTGCGAAATCATGCTATAAACCAGCTCCTGCTCCTCTGCCGTTTTTACTCATGGGATGCAAACTTCTCCAAGAAGGCCTCGTCCGTCTTGGGCTCGACCACCGTCGGATCCGGCGCTGCAGGTAGCTCGATACGTGCGCTGGGTGGCTTTGTATGCTGCAGCCCGTTCAAAATGCGGAAGTACGCGCGCGCATTTAGCTAGAGGTCCGATCTCACCTTCTGCATGGAGTGAGTGAAGCGCGCGCTCCTCTCCTTGTCGAGCTCCAGCACAAGCTCCACACCCGCCAGATCTTTCTTTTCTGTGAACTCCATCGCGTGCGCCATCGATCGTTCAACAAGGCCGTCGTCAGGCCAAAACGATGTCTCCGCATCGGGAACCTCGTGAATAATGTATGCATGCGCTTTGTCAACCTTTACCTGCGCAATTGAAGGGAGTAGCCAGAACATTTGTAACTTACCGGAAGATGTGAGACAATGTAATTGCTCACAGTGTAATCTTATATCAATGGACTAATGCAAGCAACCTACGTCGGGCAAATACGAAAACCAGCAGTAAGAATGCATGTAATCCCTACCTGAAACTTGCCTGCCAGCCTTTGTCGACCTTCGGAACGTTGATGTCCGCACCGCATAGAGTTCTCGCCCATCCACTCATGCCTTCCGTTATTGGCATGTGGCATGCGTAGCGCGCTTGAAAGTCCGCCTGCATGGCCTCATGCACGAAAGGAGAGAACTGCGCAAGGGGGAAGACGGGACCCGTATCTGGGACGATTGGTGATCTGTTGTCACCACGTGAACTTGGTTCCCGAGCGTCCCTTGCGTCAGTCAGCTTGGCTCGCTTGGGGCGTCTGTCGGTGTTGTCCGTGCGAGCAGTTTCCGTCGTGTCCGTAGGGGGATTGCCCCTCATCTCCAGGATCTCCGGTCTTCTGCCCTTATTCGTGCGCGGAGTGACTCGACAAACTCGTGGGTGTACTGCGTTCGCGAGTGACTTTTCCGGCTCGGTGGAACCGGTCCGTGCCCGCCTGAACGAGCGCTCGCTGGTAATCCATGACGATCCACCGAGGGGGCATGCGGGGCGGATTTAGTAACCCCTGACACCGGGCGGCGCTGCCGGAGGGACTCTGTGTCACATGGGGGGATTGAGGACAACCAATCGATGATGCTGTATGTCATATTAAGATGCTGACTTCTCTAAGGCATACCGATACGTCTCGTGATATGACTTGTCAATGTACAGAAATAGACACCAAACCTTCGAATTCTTCGTCGACGAAGCCTCTGCTGTCGGCCGTACCCATCCCCCTGGTGTCCTCGTCTAGTCCGTTTGCGTCAACTTCTGCTTCTGCTTGGGCTGCCCAAGTTGCGTATCCAGTCTCGTTGGAAACCGTATGACGGTCTTGCGCACCTCGTCGATCTGAGAGCGCTTCCTGGATCTCGTACCTATCGAAGTTTTTGCGGCGCGAGGATGGGTCGTAGTAAACGAATGTCTGACCTCTCCGCGTTTGGGGGGTTGAGAGCCTAGAGGAGGTGCGAAGGCCTGGCGGTCGAGGTGAGATTGAACGATGCATCCTGCTTAATCTGCTAGTGTCAACTACTAATGGCAGGACGAGAAGGCACCAGACGGGACGGTTAAATATTGTGCCAAGCGTAATTTTGAGAGCCGCGTAGGTGTCAAGAATGTGTAAAGCAAGAACGCATGGTGCGCATAGCGTATGCAAGCTTCGCTATCTTGCAAACACAATTCAGCCAAGATCCCTCCAACACACCCTGGCTTACCCTCGCAGACAAGATTCATTGTGTTTATGGAAAAGATAGCTGTCACGTGAATCGTGTGCTCTTGTGCACGACAGCTGTCAGGTAAATCGTTTGGAAAACCGAGATGCTGGCATGCAAATCATTCAAACGTCATCCGGACAGTTCATCCCTGTCGCACGTTTGCAATGTGCGCCAGAGTCGGCCATGTGTAGATTCCATGAACAAACGTTGTTATGGCGATACTTACCAATGATCTACAACCCAGGGATTGGGTTGTCCACGTCAAGTTCCTCCGTTCAATTTTTGCCGTGGACAGTCCTAGAACGTGGGTCACCAGATGTCTACTGGTATAGACTCGGCAGTGAGGGCAACACAAAAGTTTGTCATGCTGATGCCTACATTCCAGAATTGTGGTCCACGATCACGATACAGTGCATCATGTGTGGAACAACGGTGAGGGGACAACCGACCCAAGTACTGCTGTACAGGCGTTCTCACCTTGGCCATCCACGCGCAGGGGAGGTTGGTGCCACGTGTACGTTTGGTTCAAATAAGAAGTTTCTCGAAACCGTTGTGCAGTTATATCGTGGCGACGACGGTTCACGAGCTGCCACGTCAACTGTCGTAATCGACTCGGTAATGCCGAAACCCATCCGCTCCTACAAGTAAAAAAAAAAGAGTCTCGATAAACATAGTGTATCATCCACTACCTCGTTCACACAAGCTAAAAAGAACCTATTATAATGATATGGTGTTGTTATAGAACGTGCTATATACATCTCCCAATGTATTTATCCTGCACTGTTAACACTTAGACGATCAATCATGCACTCTTGCCAAACATCTGAGGAGTAAGACAATGCACAATACTGGGGCCATTGTCGCCAACAGAGTGATTCCATGGGTACACTAGTAAATTAGCTCTATCAATGTAGCGCCAATTCCTCGTGCTGCTGCCTGGACGCTCCCACCAAGCTCGCATGCCAAGTGCATGTGACAAAACCCCCACTGGCATCCCTTCTTCCCCACCAACGTGCGTGAAGTCCTCTGGATCACTGGAACCGCGCCCAGGCAAGCGTGCCCTGCAGAACACGACCCTTGCATCGCTTTCGCCGAGCCTGTCATACATCCCGCGCTCGATCTGCGTGCATCATGTTACGACAGTGGGGCAATGGTTGATTATAGGGAGAAATACCTTCCGAAACGCCAACTCAGAGGCGGAATTTTTCACTCACCACCCAGCCTTCGCTCATGGCGAATTCCATGAGATACGTTCGGTAGTGGTATTCGGGCTGCACATCCGACCGCAACGATGAATAGCCTGACGCATCATAGTTGATGTTACGGAAATCTGAGGCCAGTTCTTTAAACAGCAAGAGGTAACGGTAGCGCATGAAGAAATCAAGCTCGTCTTTGTGTTAGAATCAGTAGTAGAAAGTAAAAATGAAAAAGGAGGGGTTTCACTAGCAAGCAGTTGGATACATATAGCAAACCCTAATTGGGCTGTACTCACTATGGAGTACCCCACTGCAGGCTAGACAATTATAACATTCTGACACACCCCCATAGCCAAAGTGGGGTGTAATCAGCACAACAAGCAAGCATAGTAATAGTTCACAATTATAAGCAAAGCTAGTGGTAGTCATAGCGGGCAAGTGAGGAGGAGGAGGGACTGTGAGAGGAGAGAAGATGGGAGACAACGGCTGAAGCTGCAGACACACGGGCAACAGGAGCGGCTGGCACAGTGGCTACCGGGACAGCGCCCCGGACTACTGGAGTAACTGGCTCACGGGCTACGAGGAGCTACAGGAGCAACGGACCCACGGGCGACAGGCGCAGCAGACTCTCTGGGCTACCAGGACAGTGCGCCCCGGACTACAGGTGCTGCGGACGACAAGACAGCAGCCTCCACTCAACCTCCCCCGACCGTCCCACACCCCTCTCACACACACCCCCTGCTTCACCCCTAGCTCCACTCCCCCTTCACCCCCCTAGCACCACTCCTTCGGCTCCCCACACACACACCCCCCTGAGCGGCAGCTGCAGCAGCGGGAGACGGAGGAGGAGGAGGAGTAGGGGACGGCGCACACAACGGGCACCCCCACAACCGTCACCCCCACACTCCTCACCCCCAAACCCTAAAACGGGTTGTAAGGGGTAGGAGCGCGGGGGACGGCGGGGGGGAAGGCGCGCGGCCCCCAGGGCGCCACCAAGGGGCAGCAGGGCGCCGCGACGGACGGGCGGGGGCAGCGCGCGGCTCCCCAGGGTGCCGCGACGGACGGGCGGGGGCAGCGCGCGGCTCCCCAGGGTGCCGCGACGGACGGGCGGGGGCAGCGCGCGGCTCCCCAGGGTGCCGCGACGGACGGGCGGGGGCCGCGCGCAACTCTCCAGGGCGCCGCGACGGACTGACGGGGGGCGCGCGCGGCTCGCCAGGGGGCGCCAGGAAGAAAGGGTAGCGCGCTCGGGGCGCGCGACAGCAGTAGAGCAGCGGAAGCTTTAGGTGGTGGGCCCACCCACAGGACCGACCCAAGGGGATCGACCTGCTCTTATAACATTCTGACACTTTGTACAGAGTCACTATAAGCAAAACTTCTCTACTTCGGTCAGGTCAGAAACTTCCCAGTTCAGTCTGAAGGCAGTAAGTGCCTTGAGAACGCCGTCGCGGATAGTGTGGGCCGGCGTCTTACTGCGTGTTGTGAGGCAACGTAGGCTGTTATCTAAAATGCGTGGCGTCACGGAATATCCATGCTCGAGCAGGCGCAAAAACTCGTTCTGTAACCAAACGCTTGACACCTCATGGTAATCCCTCACTAACTCTTCAGTCGTTCTAGGACGTTTCTTGGCTGGGATGTCTAACGGCCAGGTAGGCCCACGATCAGCGCCCCATGGATTCATGGGGCCTAGACACTCTTCACGATATTTCTCCTTGGCGACGTCTATCAGCATCTTGTTCGAGTAGCAGCATAGAATTGTGAATGACCAGTACAGGAGTCATGCTGCGTCGAGTAGAAAAAGGAGGGACTCAAGGACAAGAGGGAAACAGAATCAAGAAGCGAAACAAAGGCGTGTTCAAAATGCTGAAAAGCCAGACATGGTTGGTGTGTTATGTCCAACATTATATGTTTACATTGTGTAGGCTATAGTGGGTTTAGCCTTAGGGGGTACAACATTCTAGGGCTTCCTACTTGTACTCCCAATCTTGTTAGTTCACACACACTTGTTCATTTTAACATGGTATCACGAGCCTAGGTTGCTACCTAGGACCGCTTTCTCCTACGGGCCCACTATTCCGCTAGAAGCGCCCTCGTGCGCCCTACCTTACGTGCGCCCTCGTGCGCCTTTCTCTGCTCGTGCGCCCTCGTGCGCCCCTTTTCCTTTTTCTGCTAGTGCGCCCTCGCGCGCCCCGCCCTTCGGTCTGCCCGCGTGCCGTCCTGCAGCCCTCGTGCTGCCTCCTGCAAGCTAGTACGGCCCTCGAGCCGCCCCTGCAGGTCCGTCAGGCCCCCGAGCCGCCTCTGCAGACCCGTCAGGCCCCCGAGCCACCTCTACAGGCCCGTCAAGCCCGAGAGCCGCCCCTGCAGACCCGTCAGGCCCCCGAGCCACCTCTGCAGGCCCGTCAGGCCCGAGAGCCGCCTCTGCAGACCCGTCAGGCCCCCGAGCCGCCT